CCAACAGAAATAGGAAAATATTTTGTCAATCCTCCTTCAGTTTGAACACAAGTAACAACTCTAGTATACATATCTTTAATGACTTGAATATAAGTCATATCAACACATTTCTTCTCGAGAACTCTCCAAAGGATATCTCTTGGAACCTTATCGTAAGCTTTTTCTAAATCAATAAAAATCAAATGTAGATTCTCCTTATTATCTCTGAACTTCTCCATCAAACCTCTCAATAAATGTATAGCTTCCATAGTAGACCTACCCGACATAAATCCAAATTGATTATGAGAAATTGTTGTGATGCGTCTTAACCTATGTTCAATTACCCTCTCCCATAATTTTAAAGTATGACACATCAACTTAATTCCTCTATAATTTGCGCACTGTTGTGCATCTCCTTTATTCCTAAAAATGGGGACCAAAATACTCCTAAAAATGGGGACCAAAATACTCTTTCTCCACCCCTCAGACATCTTTTTAGTTTTTAAAATAATATTAAATAGTTTAGCAAGTTAAGAAACTCTCAAATCTCTTAAATATTTCCACACTTCAATTGGGTTATCATCAGGTCCTACAGACTTTCCACCCTTGATTTTCTTTATAGTCTCCTCAATTTCTTTTTTACTAATGCGACGGTAAAAATAAAATGTTTTATTATTATTCGTGATATTAAGATCACTTTGGTTGATCGTATTTTCAGAAACTTCATTAAAAAATTTATCAAAATAACTCACCCACCTGTGTTGAATATCTTTTTCTAATAAAAACATTTTTTTTATTTTCATCTTTAATACACTTTACTTGAGTTAAATCTTTACTTTTCTTTTCTCTTTGTTTGGCTAGTTTATACATATATTTTTCACCCTCCTTAGTATCTAATCTATTATAAAGATCATTAAAAGCAGAATTTTTAGCATCACAGATTGTTCTTTTAGACTCCCTGCGAGCCGTTTGATATTTTCTCCAGTTCTCTAAGTTTGAAATCTTGAATTTTACTCATAAAAATAATTTTATTTGTATATTTTAGGCTCCCCATCTAATTCTATGATAACGAATCCTATTATTTTTTATCATACAACTCATCTTAAAATCTAGAACTAATAAACGATGTAGGTACTTAAATCTTCACTAGGAATGACCTTATAATCTTTACAATTTCGACGATCTCTTCTTCTCATAAAAAAATAATCAATTTGTGTTTTATTTGATTCATTCTTATAAGTAATAATAAGTAAATTTTTTTTCTTGAATAAAATATTATTAATAACAAAATCATATGCTAAAGCAAAATCTAATATGACTCTACGTTCTTTATTAAATCATGAGTAATTCTAAAGTCTTCTACCACTCTACCGACATGTCCATTTATATCTCCTCAAATAAAAATGAAGAAAGAGGTATCATTTATATTAAGTCTTCTAATCGTTCCAAAATTATCTTTAGACCCTGTATTTAAACCTACTTGAGGAGCATAAGCACTTATAATATTAAAAATCTTAGTATCAATGATAATCTTAAGGGCTATAATTCTATCTTCGACTCTATTAATTTTTATAACATTATTTTTCGAACTCTTATCTATAATTACACCTACACCATTTCTAGTGCGACCCTTACCAGAATACCAAAGTTTAAAATCTAAATTATCAATCTCCTTAGCCTTTTCTCCAACCCATTTAGTTTCTTGAATACATAAGATATTAATTTTTCCATGAATCATTATATCAATTAATTCTATTAATTTACCATTGAGAGTATTTATATTCCAAGATCATATTCTAATATTTATTTCATTAGTTTCATGGACTAACTTCTTTACCCGCATTCGTCCGTAATGTGAGAATCGTTGCTTATTTCACACTATACCCGGACGCCAGTGTAGCGGCCCTTGCACACTTTTCACTGTATTCAGACTATGCAACGCGTCGTTTCCAGGGGACGCCCTAACACTTACACAATGATAAAAAAGATTCATATCATGATTTTTTTCGACAAGTTTTACGTTGGTTGTCGACTACCTAACACAACTCTCCACTTTTCATATTCGGGCTTGGGATCGACAATGACAATGTTAAATATATATTTAAAAAAAATAATTTCCTTAGAAAAAAAGTTACATGCTCAAGACTGCACGTGCAACTACTTGCTTTCTGACAAAAAACTGTTGTTACTCGCCGCCTGCTCACTTTTCTTTCTCGCTTGCTTGGTTTTCAATATAAGATATATTAATGTAAATGGAAAATGCGTCAGCACGAATCTCAATGGAATCTAACAAATTTGGAAGAAGCGACGTAGCATAATGGACTCACTGGAAAGCAACTCTCACAGGACCCAAGCAGTCTGCCAACAACAAAATGCTAGGTGATTCAAGGAGATGTTGGTCGTCAAAAATTCTCTTGGAAAAATATAAAAAAATATGGTTTTGATTTAAATTTAATATATATATATATATATATTTGAAATTGAAAAT